TCTCTACTAAAACTACAAAAAATCAGCTGGGCATGATGGCGTGTGCCTGTAATCCCAGCTACCCAGGAGGCTGAGGCAGGAGAATTGCCTGAACCCAGGAGGCGGAGGTTGCGGTGAGCCGAGATCGCGCCACTGCACTCCAGCCTGGGTAGCAAGAGCGAAACTCCGTCTCAAAAAAAATAAAATAAATAAAATAAAATAAAATTAAAAAAAATAAAAATAAAACCTGCTTGCCTGACTTTGGGTCTACTCTCCTTTCTCTCGGCTAACTTTACACTCTCGAATTCTCAATCTCTCTCTCTCTCTCTTTTTTTTTTTTAAGACATGGTCTTGCTGTGTTTCCCAAGCTGGACTTGAACCCTTGGGCTCAAATGATCTTCCTACCTCAGCCTCCTGAGTAGCTGGGACTAGAGGGGCAGGGCAGGCCACCACACTTGGCTTGTTGCTCTTGAATTCTTGAGCCTGTACAGGAGCAGGATGTCGGCCACACTGAATGAGAATGAATCTTTAACCCCAGGGCTCTCAGTAGTAAGAGACTGGAGTGCAGTGGTGCGATCTTGGCTCACTGCAACCTCTGGCTCCCAGGTTCAAGCCATTCTCCTGCCTTAGCCTCCTGAGTAGCTGGGATTACAGGCCCACACCACCATGCCCGGCTAATTTTTTTTGTACTTTTAGTAGAGACAGGGTTTCACCATGTTGGTCAGGCTTGACCTCATGATCCACCCACCTTGGCCTCCCAAAGTGCTGGGATTACAGACGTGAGCCAAGGCACCCAGCCTCGCCTTTCTTTTTAATGAGAGAGATCTTAGGTAAATATTAAGTGTTTCTGGATCCTCTTTCTGACCTTTTTTTCTGGTTTCTGGAGGCTCAACAAATGCATTTCTATACTACCTGTTTTGGCTTTTCTCTGTCTAAATATCGAGTTTTCTGAAACTAAGTACTTGCTTACCAAAAAGTTATTGAAAGGGAACTTAAACAATACAGCTTCTTAGATTTTGTCTTATAATTTGATAAGCTTTACCAAACAGCATGGCTTGTTTTCCTCTCATGATAAATTTTAAGTTAAAGAATGTTCTGAACACCCATCTTCATATGTAATAAAAACAAAGCTGGCATTTATTGAAGACTTACCATGTGCCAGTCACTGTACTGTCTTATATATATCATCACATGTATTTTTAACATTACTATAAGAAAGATACTGTTATTCCAACTTTAGTGGATGAAGAAACTGAAGCAGAGAGAGAATAAATGATTTGTCCACATCTCAAAGTCAAACTCAGGCCATCTGGTTCTAGAGCCCAAACTCCCACCTCCCCCCTCTCCCTCCCTCTCTCCCTCCCTTCCTCCTCCCTCCCTCCCTTCCTTCTTTCCTTCTTCCTTTCTTCCCTCTTTCTTCCTTCTTTCTTTCTTTCTTTTCTTTCTTTCTTTTCTTTCTCTCCCTCTCTCTCTGTCTCTCTCTCTCTTTTTGAGACAGAGTCTCTGTCACCCAGGCTGGAGTGCAGTGGCATGATCTCAGGTCACTGTAACCTCTGCCTCCTGGGTTCAAGTGATTCTCATGCCTCAGCCTCCCAGTTAGCTGGGACTACAAGCATGCGACACCATGCCTGACTAATTTTTGTATTTTTAGTAGAGACAGAATTTTGCCATATTGACCAGGCTGGTGTCGAACTCCTGGCCTCAAGTGATGTGCCCACTTTGGCCTTCCAAAATGCTGGGAGGCCACCACACCTGGCCCATGCTTCTTATTTCTAATAAAGAAGAATTAAAATAAGTGAAACAGTAGAAACGTAATGCTATACTAGTTCCTGGAAAGATTTTTTTTATAAGAGTTATTAGAGTATACTCACCTTTCAAAAATTCTCTAATAGTGACTGAATGGTTGGAGAGAGGCAGAGGCTTCAAAGAGCAGGAAATTAAGAGGACAACTTGTTTTTTCAGTCCCTTATCTACTATATCTACTACTGCACTGAAAAGTGTTTTTATGGGTTGGGCATGGTGGCTCACGCCTGTAATCCCAGCACTTTGGGAGGCTTGGGAGGCTGAGGTGGGCAGATCACTTGAGGCCAGCAGTTTGAGACCAGCTTGGCCAACATGGCAAAACCAGTCTCTACTAAAAATACAGAAAGTAGGTGGGTGTGGTGGCACATGCCTATAGTCCTTGCTACTTGGGAGGCTAAGGAGGAAGAATCACTTGAACCT